CTATAAAAAATTATTATTATATGTATATAAAAAATAATATATAAAATATATCATATATCCGTGAGATAAAGCAAGTAGATCGATAAGTTAACATTAATTGTTTACAGACTAGACACTATGACGACCGCTCTGCAGAAAGTTGAAGTACTAGATTGATTGTATCATTAGTAGGTGCATGTTCTTTTTCTATTTTGATTTGTAAGATTAACGCTAAAACGTTAGTCCGTATAAGACACGATAAATGATATTTATCGTTCAATATTTCGAGATTCCTATACTCAGATCGTTAAACTCTATATTCTTAATTAAAATTAGTCAAGAAAAATGGCTTTTAATCTGTTAACAATAAACTTAAAATAAAAAAAGATCAGCAACTTAATGCGAGATATTATAAACGCGCTCGTACAATTATAAATATCAGATGCAACACAAAATATACTTTTTATAAATTGCATAATGAGTATTAGAAATAATATTTCTAATACTCATTATGCAATTTAAAATATAATAATTTTCACTTTATATCAACGCAATGCGTTAGTTTGGTTTTCTACTTTGGCCCGAAAAAACCCTAGCTGCGTAGGTACTTTGTGAAAGATGTTAAATGCTTATATACAAAAGTCTTTAAACTCGAAATATATATATATATATATATATATATATTATTGCAAGAAAAAATATGAATTAACAAATAACCTAATAATAACATTGATTTTTATATTAATATATCTGTAATAAAAAAAATTGCTAGAAATAATTTTTAAATAATGCTTTAATATCTCGACTTTGTAACTCTTGGATCTTATTATTTATTTGAGCCAGGTCAATTTGAGATTCGATTTGAGTCAGGTCTAAATCAGTCTTTCATTTGAAAAACGCTTTTCAAATTACGGTTCAATAAATCCGAATAGTTCAAACTTTGGTTCAAATCTGATTCGCCTCCATCATGATATATAATGAATATGAACCTTATAGTTCGATAAACATCGTTGTTATTACACAATTTTTTTGCCATGATATTTATGTAACGATAATATAATGATACCGACAATGTTGTTACAGAGTTATAAAACTGGGATATATGATTATAATTTA